TTTGATGAATTAGTTATTTTGATGATGACTGGATGATGACTTTGATGAAGGCTAGTTATTTTGATGATGACTTTGATGAAGGCTAGTTATTTTGATGATGACTTTGATGAAGGCTGATTTGATCTTTTGATGAAGGCTAGTTATTTTGATGATGACTTTGATGAAGGCTAGTTATTTTGATGATGACTTTGATGAGGCTAGTTATTTTCATGATGATTTTGATGAAGGCTAGTGATGATTTGATTAGTTATTTTGATGATGACTTTGATGAAGGCATGACTTTGATGACTGATGACTTTGAAGGCTGATGACGCTTTGATGATGACTTTGATGAAGGCTAGTTATTTTGATGATGACTTTGATGAAGGCTAATTTTCATGATGATCATGATGATTTTGATGATTTTAATGACTTTGATGATGACTTTGATGAAGGCTAGTTATTTTGATGATTGGGTATTTTCATGATGACTTTGATGACTTTAATGACTTTAATGCTGACTTTGATGTAGGCTAGTTATTTTGATGATAACTTTTATTATATTCATAATGATTTTGATGATTTTAATGACTTTGGTGACTTTGATTATAACTGATTATTTTCATGATGAGCAATGATGATGATGATGGTGATGGTGATAACAATGGTGATGAGGGTAAATGATAATGATAATAACAATGATAAGAGTAATGATAATAATGATAATAAAGAAGATAATGAGACTACTACTACTAATAATAATGATAACAATGATAATGATAATGATAGGAATGATAATAATGATAATAATGATAACAAAAATGATGATAATAGTGATAATAATAATGATGATAATGACAGCAATGATATTAATAATGATAATGATAATGATAAAGCAATGCTGATAATGATAATACACTATCAATGGTAATTCTAATGATAATGATAATAATAATGATACTACTGCTACTACTATTACTACTACTACTAATACTATTATCTCTATTAATGCTAATTATAATGCTAATGTTAATAATAATGATACTACTACTACTATCAATGATGATAGCAATGATAATAATGATAATGATAATCACAATGATAACAATAATAATGATAATAACAGTGATGATAATGATAATATCGATAACATTGATGACAACGATAATAATGATAGTGATGGAAACAAATAATAACAATAGTAATAATAATGATATTAATTATTACAATAGTAATAATAATAATAATGATGATAATAATAATGATGATAAATAAAAATTACAATGACGATAATGCTAATGATGATAATAACAGCAATAATCATAATAATAACAATATTAATGATAATGGTAATGTTAGTGTTCATGATAATAATAATAATGATAGCAATGATAGTGATATTAATAATAATAACAATAACGATAATAATAATAATGATAATGATAATGAAAAGGATGCTGCTGCTGATGATCATGATAACGATAATGATAACAAGAATAACAAGAATGATAATAATAATAATGATAATGATAATATTAATATTAATAGGAGTAATGATAATAATGATAATATTAATATTAATAGGAGTAATAATATAATAATATAATAAATTATGACAATACTAATGATAATGAAAATAAATGTAATAATAATAATGATAATAATAATAATGATAATAATAATAATAATAATAATAATAATAATAATAATAACAATAATAAAACAGCATAATTAATTATTAATAATGATATGATGTTAGCAATGATAACGGCAGTAGTAACAATGATAAAGTAAAAATGATAATGATACTGATAATATTCAACGGCAGGAATTAATATCATGATTATACTCCTGTTACTATCATTGCAGGTAAAAGGCCTTAACTGAACCGTGACACAGGAGAAAATGATGCAAACGATGCCACATCCAACATTCACACAATATTGTCTATCATCACCTTGTAATATCATATCATCTTTGCCTTCGAGTCATCGCTTTTCCCCCGTTCCTGCTGACCTATCCATCGAGCTTTCCTTGTGGACATGCTAGCGTCGCCTAATGTCTTAGTTTTCGTGATGCTTGTGTTTCGTAAGAGTAATGTTACTCTCCCCTCTTAGACACTGTTCGTAATGCTATCCGTACGAGGAACCTTTTGTTATCAAGGAAGGGATGGATTTTCCCCTCGCTTCCCAAAGCAGGATGGAGGCATTGTGTGTGTCCATGATAGTTATTTTCCTTCTCTCTCTCTCTGTGTCTCTGTCTGTCTGTCTCTGTCTCTCTCTCTCTCTACCTCTCTCCTCTACCCCCTCTCTCTCTATCCCCCCCTCCCCTCCCTCTCCCTCTCTCTCCTCTACCTCTCCCCCTCCTTCTCTCTCTCTCCCTCTCTTTTTTCGTGTCAATATCATCACAATAATGTTTGTTGAAGACCACAGATCCTGCGTTCTATTGTCGCTCATACACATCACAACGCACTGTTGCCTTTCATACACTAACTCACAGGCTCATTCTGTGAAAAAATATA